TGCGAGTGATGTGATGTGAATGAGATGTACTATTCAGTAATAATTTTATGGAAACGGTTAATATCGTGCAGCCAGATTCAAACGAAAAAAGAGATTTTTTTTCGTGTAGTAGACTAGTACTCCTAAATTATTAGTGGTAATCTAGTATTATTCACAGAAGTATTTTGGATTAGTTCAATGAATTGTATGTCTCATTACTCTAATTATTCACTTTGTAGTTTCACCAAACAATATGAGTGGCTTCATTTATATTAGTGTTTTTTGACAAAATGACCATCCAGTTGTAGAAAGTTAATCCGAACAAACATTGTAATTACTTCACGAAAGTTATTTCATTTAAATAAGGACGTTGCCATTCCATAATCGTCAATTAGTTGTTTCGTTTACGTTAACAGAATACATTAATATAACCACGTAATTATTATGTTCTCATGAGAAATTGTTTGCTTTCTTTCATAATTCCTATTTGTTCTTCCGCGATTGAAATTATCGTCATGTTAACAAATAACATAAGTGCAAAATCTCAGAGCCACTAGTCCGGTCAATTCATACATTGGAAGCTACCTAAATTCCCACCAAGCTGAAAATCAGTAAGATTGTTTAAAATATGATCAAAAATAAAATTTGAAAGTTCCCCATCTTTCCCCTGTATGGAAAAAAATTTATTCAAGGTCAAAGGTCAAAAAATGAGTTTTTCGCGATTTTCAGCAAAACGGTAAGTATTATCATGAAAATACTCGAGACAAAAATTGTAGATCATAAAATATTATCTACAGAAAATGTATCAATAATTTTTTTCCTACGAGCCACCGTTTTTGAGATATAACGATTCAAAAAGTTGTAAAAGTTATAATCGTCATAATATGCACCCGTTTCCACGCCACCTATGAGGTAGTGTACTCAGCGCGTTTTTTTTAATATGGTTTCCCCAGGAGGTCTATTCCACGGTTCAGTTGTGATCCTGTTTAATTTGAAAGTATTGCAGAATAATAGATATTAGCAGAGATTGAAACGATGAAAGCAATTTAAGTTAAAAAAAGGTAGTGAAATTCAATCGTCCGAGTTGTAACTTTAAAAATTCTTCTTCTTGTTCTTCTTGTTCTTCTTCATCTTCATCCTGAATACATGTGAACTGTGTAAATAGCGATGTATCGTATGTCGTCTCGTTGAAAACAAACTGATCCTCCTCTATTGGTGATTCAATATTAGAGCACGACGGGCCTTGACAATGTGCAGAGAACAAAACAGTCCGGCTTCTTTGCAACCACATTTAGCACTGCACGCATTTTTGACAGATGCAAAAAAATTGTGTTCAGCAGTTTTTCCGGCGCAGGTGACTGGTTTAGACTGGTTCCAATGAATTGTTGACCAACTTCCAACCCCAGTCTGTAGGGTCTAGCTGATAAAAAAAGATGTTGATGAACAACAACTGAGGTTGGAGGAAGACAAGGTAATTGTACTTGTTTTTCACTTTTGGTATTTTTAACGAAACCTGCATATCTATATTTATCCTAGCAGGTAGTTTTTCAGGAGCTCCGTATATAGAAAGAAGAAAGCGAATGTCGTTAGTGATAATTTCTTGTCGAGTTGAAATACTATTTTCAAAAACTTCATCACATTGAACTATATTTTGTTTCTCAAACATTTTGAAAACTGTTATTTTACCCCTCCTATAAAATGCAGATGTCGTATCACAGCCAGTTATTGCGTGTAAAAATAGTACAAGTATAGTACAAAAAGTATATGAACTTTTTCACGAATATATTTCCGATTGATAATGAGCTTTTCCTGGTTTTAAAAAGAACATTTTTTTCATTGGAGTTCGAGCAGTGAGTAATACGAGTAAGTCTACATCTTTACCAATAACAATAGTTGTATTTGTCGAATTGAATTGCTCTATTGCTGTTTCAATTATCAATACATCAGCATCATTATTAGCTTGTTTTACCAATATATTTTAAGCAGTAAATTTTTCTTTCAACATTGTAATGACCCGAGACTTGTTGTGTGTATTTGTAATAAATTTTTGTTAACTGGTTGGAACTGTCATATTTTCATCAAATAAAATATCAATTGATGTAGATGTTGCTAAAGTTCGACGACGTTGTTCTGCAGCTTTGGTATTTTTCATGTAATCATTATGGTCATCAAATACGAAAGTAACTCTGGATCCAAAATGTCAACGTACATACTGTACGTATTTATCTAAGACAACGTGAAATGTTTCTTCGGTATTCCACACAACGCGATGTAGTATTATCCTCCGTCAATGATGTAGGTTGCATTTGTGTTGTCAATTTCAAAATCTACCTTTTCGAAACAATTGTAAATGGCAGATAATTCATATACAATAACCGATGAAAAAATATTTTAAGATATATTACTACTACAGAGATGTATATAGTAGCGTACTCATGCATATTATGACGATTACAAGTTTTATAACTTTTTGAATTGTTATATCTCAAAAACGGTGGCTTCTAGGAAAAAAAATATTGATACATTTTTTGTAGATAATTTTGTAGTCTACAATTTTTGTGCGGAATATTTTTATGGTAAAACTCACCGTTTTGCTGAAAATCGCGAAAAACTAATTTTTTTGACCTTTGACCGTGAATATGGTCCCATACAGGGGAAATATAGGGAACTTCCTAATTTTATTTTTAATCATATTTCAATCAATCTTACTGATTTTCAGTTTAGGGGCAATTTAGCTAGCTTTACTCTTATTTTTTTGTCTAATTTGATCGGACTACACCTTTTCAAGACATTTCAAGAAAATCAATATTTCGACAACGTTGCGAAATATCAAACAGTCCAGCAATGTCATATTTTGAGGACAATTTCTTTTATTATTAGTAATGATTTTATGTTAGGATGCTTATTGATATCTATAAAAGCGTCATGCGTTTGAGTTAGCAAGCTGGATGAAGGTAGTTGTTTCAGTTAGACTTTCAATTCCAGTTTGTCATTGAAAGAAACTTCTGTGCATGATCTACGCCAGCGTAAATAGTTTTTATTGAAGTTGATTACTTTATTTATTTTTTCTGAAGTTTCCCACATTTTTGCGTAATAACGGAGAAGTAGAAAGCGGAAAACTTTTTTTCGATGAACATTCACTTTCAAATACATGAAATATTTTTCCCGGTTAGTATTTGTAATAGCTTGAACCCGAACCATTTTGAGCGTTAGGGATTGGACAAATCGGAATCCTAGCGAAGTGATAAGACGTGGAGGGTTAACAGATTGAGAATCTAGGATAATAAATAATTTTTATTTCAAATGGCTCCCCCTCTTTTTGCGCCAAAAATAATATATCGGACAATAATATCTTGGCCAATAACATCTCAGTGCAGAACATTTCAAGACAAATACATTTCAGGACTAAAATATTTTGCACAATAAATGTGAATACATACTTCAATAACGCGCTCAATATGAAAAAGAAGCAGACGATAAAAGAGGAAATTGCACAAAACACCGAAATTGGAGAATTTTTCCGCCCTGTACCTTAATGCTGAGATATTATCGACAGAGATATTTGTCGCTGATAAATTATGAGGGGGTACTTTGATAATCTTGGATTTGATTCATTTGATTTCTCAAAAATCACAAAGTTAGCTGGGTTCGTGACATGAAGGATAGGAGGATAGGACAATTCACCATAGTATATGTTCGGATATATTAGCAAATTAATACATATTGACACAATAACACAGTCTGCACAGTCACACACACATATTCACGATAATTATACTCACTTAGATGAAGACTATGCACAATACAACATTAATAAAATCCGAGGAGGATTACATTAAAATATATTATGAGATTTCATTTAATAGATACATACTACAAACATGTTCATCTCTACTATTTGAAGTAAATAATCGTCATAGAAAGTAAATTGAGTCATCAGTAAAGGTTTAAACTCTCAAATAGTGTAACAGTAATCCGAAAGCCAAAACAGGAGATTCACTGTAGACCTGACAACACTGAACGGCGCTCCTGTCGTGCAATTTCTTCTTCAACTGCGGTGTGTTGATTTGCAAAATTCCACAGTCTAATTGCATTACAGATTCGTTGGGAAGAATCCGATATTCAGAAAGAGTTTTTGAGTGAACGAAATATTAGTGTTATGGGTATTTCATATATGTTATAGTAACATATACCCTATATAAATCATCTGAAAATGGCACCAGTTCCATGATGAGTTGTCATTTGAATTCATCAAAACAATTTAAAATGCAGGATCATTTATATTTGAAGTCAAACAATTAATAAGTCACAATTCTTTTATTCATTCTACAAATGAACTCATGAACTCTTTAAATTACAATCCTATAAAGCTTAATCTAACTTATTCCAAATTATTGAATCAGTGTTACTTGTGATGATTGTAATTTTCATTTATCTTCTGTGGTGTGATAATATATTATTGTCTCTAAACTGTAATTAGGCGCTATTACATCATCAATGTTTATACCAATATTTTTTTTTATTTGAATGACATTGGTATTCTACATCATACCCCTCTTCGTTGTATCTCATAAAAATAACAACATTTTATCTATAATTTTCCTCTCAAACAAGTTTCGTTTGTAAAAGAAAATATCTGGCACAAATAGTGAAATAGTAACTCGAAAGCTAATACAGGAAATCTACTGAAGACCTGGTAAAATTCACGGTACTCTTCTCGTGCAATTTTGTCTCCATCTGCAGTGAGTTGACTTGCACAACTAGATTACGGAAGAATAAAAACCGAGTTGCCATCGCCATGAGATTTACTGCAAAGTCCAGATTCAAATTCCAGTAATAATCAATAAGTCAGTCCATTTTATCATCATCTACACCTTCTATTTTTATATCTGAACCAAATACATCCTACTCTGAATGGTTCTCCTCCGAAAAAGAAAATATGAAATTGAAATCTTTGCTCTATCTGTTCATACTTCAGGCCAAATCAGAACTGAGTTTCCACTTTAAACTTTTTTTTTCAGGGGTAGAAGAAACAATAGGTTTAGTCAAAGGAATAGGTGGAAAAGCCTATGGATACAAATGTGATATAGCTGATAATGATGAAGTCTACAGGGTTGCCAAAAAAACCCAAGAAGAAGTCGGTGAAGTGAGTATATTTTAACCATTCATCAACATAAAACCAGTATACAATATGAAGTTACCGAAGAAAAAAGAAAAAAAGAGAAATTAGTACAGTTATGCAATTATTGGAGTAACCATACCATGTGACCACTTTTTAATGAAATTAACCATTGAAAACTAGTAGGATATAAGAGTTTCAAGACTACTAAAATGAAATGAAAGTTTCATGTTCAGAAGTATTATCGGAAAAAATGGTCGATTTCATGTTTAGTAATGTTTTCATTGTTTTCAACAATATCAGAAAATGAATTTCACTAGTTCGGACTTCCATTTAATATAATTGTTATTTTCAACTATTCTTTTTTGATTATTCTTTTTTACTTGTTTCAGGGATTTCAAATCATTTTATATAGTAGACAATAGAAGTCCGAACTAGTGAAATTCTTCACGAAACATTGTCAATCACCTTCAAACAAATATCAGAAAATGTTATCGAATTTCCACTTCAGATTTGAATATACTGAAAAACCAAGAAATATTATATTCAAATTCAGATATCTTGTTCACTGGTTCACCTTCTTTTTTTTTAATGGTCCTGATATTTCTTGCATTACATATCACCCAAAAAACATATCTCCTCATTGTCTTCTCTGAAATATTTCTAAACATGCCCAAAATAACAAAAGCAGAAACAAAAAATTAACTCGACAGTTTTTTCTTTTTTCCTTTATATCCCCGTTATTTTCAATTTTTTTACCAGTAAATAATGCCCCTGTGAACAAGACTGATTCAAACGAGAATTATTTAATGTCGATTAAACATGAGCACCCAGTGTACTTAGCACAAGGCTCTCGCCTTGAATTGAATGGGGCATATTTTCAAGAAAGGTTTTTGTTCTCGGAGAATTATAAAAAAAAATGTGGGAATCTTCCAAAGAGAGGAAGAAAACAATTAAAAAACTCTATACAAGGAAGTGTAATTCATGCAAAGAAGTGACTTTCAGACATGAACTGGAAGAAATAGCCCTCCCGGAACAACTACTTTCACATAAACACGACGCATAAACAAATATGACGGAAAAATTTTACAAAAATTATACAAATTATACGAAAACAATTTTTTCTCTTCAGTTTGTACTTCAAACATTCGTTTTTAAATTGAATCAGATATAATTCACAGGATTACTACACAATATAGTATACGAAAAAAGTAAAATTTTACTTACAGCAACACTGTCATCCTCAATGGCGGTCATCTGATATTTCGCAATTAGACACTTGCCTTATCGCCTCTTTGATAATAATAATATACTTTATTGTCATTAAGAATAAATCTTGTGGACAAAGCTTGTGAAAACTAAGTATTGATATGAGTATAGAAATATAAAATTTGAATATAAAAACACCTACAAAAAAGTAAAGTTAGAACATACACTATAGTTCAACGTCGATTGTAATAAATAGAATTCCTGGCCAAATTTGTCAAAGGAATTGGCAATTTCAACACGGTGAAACGGGTGCTATAAGAATTACATGAAGCCTCAAATAGGGACATATTTTTGTAAAATGAGGCAAATCGATTCCAAAATGAATAAAGCACTCACTGTTAAAATATTTTGCTCAACGAATTTGTGTCTGCATGAATCACGAAGTTTAATCTTACACATATACCTGATAGCCTGTTTCTCCAATACTAATACTAATACAGACAGAATGCTGATGAATTGCATACTCCCCAAAACGGTATTCCATAACGTAGGTGGAATCAACGAGGGCGTAATACACCGTTCTGACAGTTTTGATTCCAAAATTTATTGAAGTTACTCTCACTGCATAACATCCAGAACAAATTTAAGTTATTTGATATGTTTAATAAATTTGAGCTCATTGTCAATGTGAATACCTAAAAATTTAGATTGAGTCTCGTTCTTAGTCACTAAGTTATCACCAAATGATAGGTCATCAAGAGCACATCTTTATGATAAAGTGTTTGTTTTAGTGATATTGAAGAATAGCAAATTAGCATCACAACACTTCTTGATTTTTTTATATCAGTAGATATTGCATTGTGTAAATCATTTTAGTTTTTGTTGTTCCACAATATCGTCGTGTCATCAGTGAAAAGAGTGAAATTTCCAGAAATGCTCAAATTTTCAATGTCATTGACAATGAGATGGGTCCTGAAACTGATCCCTGAGAAACACCATACCAAATATCCTTTTTTTTTTCCTCTGAAAGTCCTGTTGTTCTTACCATTTGATTCCTTCTTGAAAGGTAGGATTCAAACCATTCGAGCGTCATTTCTCTGCAGCCGTATTGGTGAATTTTTCTTTAGCACCAATCTGGTTAACATTATTAGATGAATAACTCAATTCCTTCATTGAATTACTACTTTATATCATGAATGAGTTAAATTTACTCATGTTATCGATGATAGTACGTCATGACATTCATTCACTTATTTGATTTAATCCTAGCTATTGAAATGTTGTTTAAATTGGAAGGGTAGTATTTTTATGAGAGATACATTTGTGAGGATGAAAGGTTTTGGATTTCTACTTCTTCATCTCCATACAAAAAATGTAGAAGTTTCTCAAAGAGAGCAAGAAAACAATTAATTTCAAAACAAACTCTATACAAAGATGTATACAAAGAAGTTACTTTGGGAAACGAACTGAACGAGAAAGCCCTCTCAAAACAATTACTTTCATATAAAAATTGAATTACACAAAAGAAAAAATACGTTTGTGTAATTCAAAGCTAACGCTTTGTTCAGTATTCGGTTTTCAGTTTTATCTTTGTTGTGAAAAACAGAAATTATACATTTTCATAAGGCTGACAGACTCCAAATTGCTTGAATATCTAGCAATAATTCGACCCAAATTATCAGAATGTACACACTTTCGAAAAAATGAGAATAACAAGATGATTCCATCCTTTTCAGCCATGAACATTGAGCTCATCATGAGATAAAGTTGAGAGATAACACAAACCTGAGTACCGTGCTTACAAAGCACGGTACGCGTGTCAAAAATTATGCAAATGAGAAATCTAAATTCTGGAGATTTGAAATTTCCAATAGTACAGAACGTTCACGACTTGTTTTCCTCTGTGACCTTCACAATAGATAAATGATAGCAGTACGTTAATGAATCTATAAATATAATAGATTCTGATAATATGTTTTCTTCGAAATGAAAAATAAACATCAAGTCAATCAATTGAGTTCAAAATACAAGTTATCTACAAGGACCAATAATCAATTCTGTCCAATATTTATAATTTTTTCTAGTGAGTCGTTCATTAGATAAAACAACACATAAAAAATGTGGAAAACTTATACGTAGAGATTCAGTTTGGGATATTCTACAAGGACCAAGAATCAATTCTGTTCAATATTTATAATTTTATCTAGTGCTAAATAAATCATTTATTGGATAGAATAACACATAAAAAATGTGGAAAACTTGTACGTATAGAGAATCAGTTTGATATATTCCGAAAAATAGTTAAAAACTAATGCTTTTTTTTGGATGTTGAGGTAAATCCGAAACAGACAATATGCAACAAATTCGAACTACTCGTACTCGTTAGCGAAAGCAGAATGAAGTTCCTTCAATGGAAGTTTCCTGTCTACTTGGTGAAAAGTAAATGTGTGACCTATTGTAGTATAGATGAAATTGGATATTATTAACCTATGAAATATTTGAATAAGTAGTACCGTTATCAGTATTACAATTTCTATTCGGGTTCAAAAAACATCGATTTTTGGAATTTACATTACACTTTACGCAGTCGTAATACCCTGTTATCGGGGATAAACTCAGAATTTATGAACCTCTGAAGAAGCTAGCCACTCCTGTCAGCGAAACGTCAGAAAAATTTTCCAAAAATCAACGGCGGCGAAAGCCTAAATCATTTTGTCAGTACATTTATCATTAGAGAAAACAAACTTTGGGCAGTAGATCGAGGTCGAATGGAACTTGTGGTACCAAACGCTTCGTCTGCTACTGTGGTAGATATCCTCAATAAAATTAACATTGAATGCGATGACGAAGATTGTGTCACAGTAACGATTGACTGACGAGCTCCGTGTTGACTTGTATTTAAATTTCAGAGGGTGTTGGGGGTGATGGTGGGGATGATGTTAGGGATAGTGGTGGAGATGAGGTTGAGTGTCAATGAGAATGTCACTCTTAATTGATCTGCACTTTTGTTGGGTTGTTGAGTGGTTCACGCTATTGACTGGTCGAAACAGTTGTCTATCGATGGATTTTAAATGGAAATCTAATTGTTAATGATCAAAATAGTTAGGTTAGGTTCAAAATGGGTGTGTCTATTCGACCCTCCACCGCAACCCGCAAAAGTTTTTTGTGGCTCACACCTATTCACACTAGACCAAATAATAAATAATAATGATAATAAATACATTTTTTATTTTCACATAATGTCCCTTATAAACAAAAGTATTGAATAAAATTAGCAACATGTTAAACATTTGCACAAAATGTAACCAAACGAATCAGGAGAACCCATCGATGACTCTAAGGTTGCGCATAGGTTTCCTAGTCATATGATTACACAAAGTATAGTAATAAACCCAGATTCTTAACGAAGCCGATTAGTTTGTATGGTGAGTGCTCTTTCAGGTCAGATAGTAGGAGTACGGCTCTGCCGAACTGTAGAAATCTGATTCAGTCCCCAGCGAGGCAGGTACAAAGTATGTGCTCTGCTGTTTCATCATTTTTCAAATAGAGGCGACACACACTGTCTTCCGACAGTCCGAGTCTCTGCATATCACGATTCAAATGACAGTGACCTGTGAGAATGCCTGTTAGACATCGTAGTTCATCTACTGTAGTCAAACAACTGCTTGGTATCAAGCTTCGAAGGGTGAATAAACGCCTTGGAGTGAGCCAATCCTGGAAGATTCTGCCAGAAGTCCATAAATCTTCTTGCCATCCAGGTGCTCAATCGTTGTTTGACAAAGCCTAAAGCGATGCCAATGACAGGTTCTGGTCCGATA